TCACAACCATACATTATGTTCCAGTTAAGCTGATTTATTGATTCTGCCTACACATAAGTATCTTGCCATGTAATGGTCAGCATTAAATTGACACTAGATAAAAGTTAATGAAATTAAAGAAGATTTGAACTTAGACCAGGGGTGTCAAACTCGATTTCATTGAGGTCCGCATCAGGGTTATAGTTGACCTCGGGGCAGGGGATGTGGTGGGCATGGCCAGCTTCATGTCACTTGTGTTGGGGGGGGGGGAAACACACCTATGGAGGCCTAAGTGCTCTACCAGCAAAAATGAGCTTCTGAGCTTTATTTTTGGCTGTGACAAAGCTCAGGGTGGGGGTGCTATGCATGGCCTCAAGATCTGTTTTCACTGGCAGAGGCACTGCAGGCCAGTCCTTCGTTGTTTTCAGGGCAGCCCCGTGGGCCAGAACTAAGCACCCTGCGGGCCGATCCAGCCCTTGGCCCTTGAGTTTGACACCCCTGACTTAAACTATTTGTACAAATGTAACAATGCCAGGCTGATACCTCTCTTGACTCCACCATCAGACTCTACCTGTCCTTCTCCTACACTCTACAAACCTTCTAAAATCAGCGCAGAGTGGATGCAAGTTTAATTTCCTAGAAAGAAGCTGATTCTTGCAGTACTAAAACCTGTAACTCTCATGGGAGGTTATCTGCTGTAGATTTGGATTGATAGAAAAGTGTACTTATTCACATATCACATAGTTAATGTACTACAGAATTTACAATAGAGTCAGGTGTTCTAACCTTGGTTTTTCAAAGAGAGGAATGAGATCTGTATCACAAATATACAGTCGTGTGGAGTGCTCTTCCTCAGGATTAAACCCAGCCAAGGTCATTGAAAGTTCTCAATTCTCCCCCTCCCCTACCATCCTATTTTTATGACATCATTTTTCAAAAAAAGTCAGTATGATAAGGCGTCTCTTTTTGTAGTAGACTCAACAAATGCACCTTAAAAGAGGTTTATTCCTTTGCATTTATATTCTTTATCCAACTTCTCAAGCTTACTGGTATCGATGTAAGGTGGTGTGGTTTGGCTGTGCAATAATAACTGAAGATAGCGAAGACTACACACCCCATCCCCAATTATATGTGTCTTTGCGTGCGTGCATGTGAGTATGTAAAAACCTCTTGTAAAGATATTTTCCCTTTAAATTCTTTCTTATTCCACCACATAATTTAGGGCCAAGGTTATGAACTTTTCCATTTTTTTACCCAGTAGCAATCTGCCCATTTCTTGTCACTGCACTCTAAACTAAAACCAGAAGGGTGCAAAGAATTGCAATAAGCATAATCAAGGGCAGACACTAAGTCTCTGGTGGAGACAAAATAGTCATTATGTTAAGCCTTGCACGAAGACACTTCAGTGAGGTTTCGGCAGCATTCCTCAGCTATTGAAGTGGTGTTTCACAGAACAGCGAAAGCTCGTCTCTGCTGTACTCGCAACCAAGACACAGATTAATAGGTTGGCATTACAAGGAGTCACATTCCGGATGAACTCCTAAAGGATAAGATTGATTTGAAAGTGGAACCGAATTCCCAAGGTTCCCTTCATTGGGTACATTAAAATGGAGGCTAGATGGCTATCTATTTTGGACCCTTTCATAAGAATTGCTGTTTGAGCAGAGGCTGCTGCGTTCAGCAACCTAAAAGAACTATGATCCTAATTTAATCTGACAAGGCACTTTCTCCACCAGCACATTTGTTTCCTCTTTCAAAAAGAGCACGCTAGAAGCAGTTCCCAGACTCTGGTTTTTCAAGGCAAATAAAGACAAACCACATACCATCAGAGGTTCAGTGCATCTTTTCATTTAATACCCGTTAAATATTTATAACCGCCGAGGCAGCAAGCTGATAGCTCTAAGTGGTAAAAGGAAACTTTCTTCCTCCACATTCCCAACTGGTTATAACACGGGTGTCAAACTTGCAGCCTCATGTTGCCATCATGTGACATTTCACGATTTCTCCCCATTCGCCGAGCTGAGCTGGGCGTGGCCTGTGCATGACGCATCCGGCCCACGGGCAGCCAGTTTAACACCCTTGGGTTATAACTACTATTTGAATGTCCCAAGGGTGCTTTTTCAACAGTCAACTGGACTTCATTTTTCCTTGAAGATGTTTTGCGCTCTACATGGGGAAGCCTTTGAAGAGCATTCGGAGACTACAACTCGTCCAGAATGCAGCCGCGCGAGCGATTGTGGGTGCACCTCGGTACACCCACGTTACACCTANGGAACCCGGAGGAGGCCAACCTTGTGTGATCTAATGGGTCTTTGGGAGGTAATTGCAACCATTCCTGCAACCATTCATTGTATGTTTTAGTCTCCAGTCCCCTAATCATCTACCATCATAAGATTTAGTGTTTCAAAGTTATTCACTGCAGTGGAATAAATGCTAAGTAAGGAACATGTCACATCAAATCTGATATTAGCTGTGTTGGCTGGGAAGATAGGCACAGGAGCCATAACAAAACTGAAAGAGACAGTTGGGAAAGGTCACATTAAAAGGGAAAAGGAGTCATCATGTAGACTACCCAACTTATGAAGCTTAGTTTTGTAGGCTATGGTGGTGTCCTCACATCATAAAAATAGAATGGCGAAGACAAACAGTCATCCTGGATAATTTGCTTATACATAGGATCTAACTTGTTTCTAAACTAAAGATTTTCTGAGGGGTTCTTGATGTTCTCTAAGCTTACTTGTTTTCTTGCAGATGTTTCATTACCCTAACTAGGTAACATCGTCAGTGCTACTCTAGTACTGATGATGTTACTAGTTAGGGTAATGAAACGTCTGCAAGAAAACAAGCAAGCTCAGAGAGCACCAAGGATCCCTCATTTCAACCCTGAGCTGCAAATATTCTCCTTTCTTTCCAGATCTACAGATACCAAAAAAGCTGAGAAAGCAGTTTCTTCTTTCATCAGTTCTATTCCTAGCAAATCTTAACAACAATAGCAATAGGAAAATTTGTCTTGACTACCATGGAGACAGAAATAACATGTTTCTTGAAACAAAGAACATTACTTTATAAGGAGGAAGCCAAGATATTTTGTGCTTTATATAAATTTTATTCCTAAAACAAAGGCAGTGCAGCATTTTTTCCAAAAATATATTTCATATAAGTAAAAGAAGCAAAAGCAATACTGGGGAACACAAAATTTAGTTCTGTTCTAATGTTTAATTCAATGGATTTGATTTCTGAATATTACTACTCTTCTGTTTTTAGGATCAAAAGAGATTTGAACTAGCCAATTTCCAATTCGTAAACTGTTGGTTGTGATAAGTACCATATTTTTCAGAGTATAAAACGCACCCTTTTCCTTCAAAAGAGAGGCTGAAAATCTGGGTGCATCTTATACACTGAATACAGCATTTTTGGCTTCCCAAAACCCCGCCCCTTCACCAAAATGGTGTGCATAGCCTTTAGGAGGCTAATAGAGTGCTCCTGGGGCTGGGGAGGGCAAAAATGAGCAAAAAACCAGCTGATTTTTGCTCCCCCAGCATAGGAGCACTCTATAAGCCTCTTAAAGGCTATGCATGCCCTTATTTTAACAAAAAACAGGCTGTTTTGGGGAGGTCTGCAGAGTGCAAAACCCTTTTTTTTAATTTGCCTCTTCCAAATCTTGGTGTGTCTTATACTCCGGTGCATCTTATACTCTGAAAAATATGGTAACCCATGGCTACAGAAATCCAGGTAGTCCTCAACCTACAATAGCTAATCAAGTGATAGTCCAAAGTTACAACAGCACTGAAAAAGTAACTTATGACCATTTTTCACAGTTACAACCTTTGCAGCATCCCCATGGTCACGTGATCAAAATTCAGACCTTGGCGCCTGCCTCACATTTACGACTATTGCAGTATCCTGGGATCATGTGATCCCCTTTTGCAATCTTCGACCAAGCAAAATCAATATGGAAGCCATATTCACTTAACCGTTTTAATAACTTAAAGAGTTTAATAACTTAAATAAATTTAATAACTTAAATAAACTTAAAGAGCCGAGGTGGCGCAGTGGGTAGAGTGCAGTACTGCAGGCCACTTCAGCTGACTGCTAGTTCAGCAGTTCAGCGGTTCAAATCTCACCAGGCTCAAGGTTGACTCAGCCTTCCATCCTTCCGAGGTGAGTAAAATGAGGACCCAGATTGTGGGGGCAATATGCTGACTCTGTAAACTGCTTAGAGAGGGCTGAAAGCCCTATGAAGCGGTATATAAGTCTAACTGCTATTGCTATTGCTAACTTAACAGCTGCAGTGATCTACTTAACAACTGTGGCAAGAAAGGTCGTCAAATGGGGCAAAAATTACTGAACAAGCGTCTTGCTTAGCAAGAGAAATTTTGGGCTCAAATTTTGGGTAAGTCAAAGGTTACCTATTTACTTCTTCTGGCATACACTTCACATGGGAAGTATTGGTACCTCATGGCTGATATGGCACGACTTAGGCTTAGACTTGTGTGAAATGGAGAAGGGCATCTTGCTTTGATCACATTTCTCCAGGTAATCCTTCAGGGTAGCTCAATGAATGGGTGCCCCAAGTGCTGCATGGAACCGACACGCAGCTCCCAAACTAGCCACTTCAGTGAACACAGAAAGGACATTTCTCCCGCAGCCAGATAACTGACTTCAGCACTTTCCATCAGCTGCCTCAGCACTTTTGATCAGACAGCGTGTCTTCTATGACACGGCACTACCTCAAAACATCTCCGGCACCTGGAGTCTGGACTACGCTGCAAAGCGCCGGCTTTTCATTCTACTTTGCTATAATACAAATCTTTTCAGGTTCATTCTGGATCTTGGGTTTTCAATGACATTCTAATTTAGTCCAGCTTGCCCTTTTTGCTGGCATCTTCATTTACCTGTTTTTGGCACAGACCAATTTTTAAATTATGGGCTTCAAGTGGAAAAAGCTCTACATGTTTTCCTCAGTGGCAGACGGTAAGATTGATCTGCTTATTTTCCTGCCGCTAAAGCAGGTCACAATTGTTAAGGTTATGTTTTATTTCTCTCCCCACCCCAATCGCACATTACAAGTACTGAAAGAGAGCCAAGGTAAGGGCATGTTTCAGTATCATCTTGTTTCACTAAGAATGCATCTAACAAACGGAAGCGTTCCTTTAATTTACTCATCTTACAAATGCTGAGAAGAATGATTATCTATTTCACGAAATCTAATTTGCCACAGACATGGTCTCGGTGCGTTACCAACTGTTCTAATTTTTTTCCTGAAGATCGTTAACTTGGACCACCCCCCCAAAAAACCATTAAAAAAATCACACGCATCTGCTGGCATGATTTTCTAATAGTTCTGTTAGCCCTGCAGAGTTGCACGTAAGCAAAAAGAGCGTTTCGCTATTAATAATAAACAAAACGAGTGTGTCTAATTGAAGGGAGCCATGGCTGGCTGCTGAGCATTTAAGATTTCTTACAGCACTTGGCATTCTGCTGCAGTGCTCTTAAGCTGCAGCTTCGCGCACCCACAAACACAACAACTCTCCCATGAAGACGAATCTGGAAACTAAGCTTGCCTCTGATGATGCAGAAAGGAGAGACACTGACCTGGTGAAGAACGCACCACTGCTTAGGAAGGAGATTTCATCCGCTAACTCCATCTCCTTGGGACGCAAACTATTGGTTAAATGGATGCTAACCCCAGGAATTCCATCTGACAGTCTCGGCTGCAGCATTAAAGGCGTCAGAGATGGTCTTCCTGGTCTGGACTGGAAAAAAGCAAATCAAAGAAAAGGCACCACCGTTAAGGGGACAGAGGAATTTTCCGAGCTCATTTTGAGCACAGGTAGAGTGGATTTTTATTTTTTTTTAAACCCCAGCAAAGAATGACTCAGCAACTCCCCCACCCCACTCCTCACACATACCTTCTGTTATAAGGTAAACATAAAAGCATACTGCCACAGTAAGGAACATTGAACAAAAGTCTTGCAATGCACTGAAATATTCAAAAAGAAAAAGAAAAAGAAAAAAACCCCACAACCTGGAAATTGTGATTAAATAAATAGCTTGAGAGAAAAGTGTGCTACACATTTTTGTGTATATTCTCTTTTCCATTATCTTCTACCTTGTGTTAAACTCCCCAAATAAAGGATGAGATTATGATTTATCTCAGAGAAAGAGTGCTAGACTGCTATTACTGGAATAACAACACACAATTAAGAGGTGTTATTATGTGCACTATGTAAGTGGAGTTAATAACTGCCTAATAATGGTGACTCAGCTACATTTATGGTATTCTTCCTGGTAATACTGTAAATCTGGTTGACATCTCAATATCGTACAGAAATATAGGAATTAGAAATATAGAAATATACCATATAGAAATAGAGGAAATAGAAGAATTATCGAGTCTGTCATCTGCACCTCTATAACTGTCTGGTTTGGTTCTGCAACCCAACAAGACAGGCACAGACTTCAGAGGATAATTAGAACCGCAGAAAAAAAACAATTACTACCAACCTGCGTTCCACTGAGGACCTGTACATTGCACGAGTCAAAAAGAGGGCAGTGAAAATATTTACAGACCCCTCACATCCTGGACATAAATTGTTTCAACTCCTACCCTCAAAAGGAAGCTATAGAGCACTGCACACCAAGACAACTAGACACAAGGACAGCTCCTCCCCACAACACCATCACTCTGCTAAACAAATAATTCCCTCAACACTGTCGAACTATTTACTAAGTCTGCATTAGTATTAATCTTCTCATTGTTCCTATCACCCATCTCCTCCCACTTATGACTGTATGACTGTAACTTTGTTGATTGTATCCTTATGATTTATATTGTTTCCTAGTATGATTTGATTGCTTATTTGTACCCCATGACTATCATTAAATGTTGTACCTTATGATTCGTGATGAATGTATCTTGTCCTTTATGTGCACTGACAGCTTATGCACCAAAGACAAATTCCTTGTGTGTCCAATCACACTTGGTCAATGAAGAATTCTATTCCATTCCATTCCATTACATTCCATTCCATTCC